ATTATGAAACGAAGGCGAAGATGTTGCCGCTGATGATGCTGCTGCTGATGATGAGGATGCTTGTAATCTGAATGCTAAATGATTTTGGCTACGACGCCGATGCCGATCACGATGATGGTGATGCCGATGCTGATGCTGCTGATGCTAATGATGTGGATAATGAGGTTGCTGATGATGATGATGATGATTGATATTCTGATTGCGATTATGATGATGATAATAGTGATGATGGTGATAATGATTATGAGGGTGATGACTATGATGATGCTGCTGATGATGACGATGCTGATTATGCTGGTTATGACGATGACGATGGCGGAGACGACGATGATGACGACGACGATGATAATGATGACGATGCTGATGACGATGATGCTGCTGATGATGCTAATGATGCTGATGAGGATGATGAGGATGATGTCGACGATGAGGATGATGATGATGAAGATGATGATGATGATGATGATGATGATGATGATGATGATGATGATGATGATGCGGATGACGCGGACGACGATGACGATGACGATGACGATGACGACGACGATGATCATGCTGATTATGCTGATGCTGATGATGCTGATGATGACGACGACGCTGATGATGCTGCTGATGATGATGACGATGACGATGACGATGATGATGACGATGATGATGATGCTGCTGCTGATGATGATTATGATGATGATTCTGGTGATGATGATTGTGATGATGCTGCTGCTGATGTTGATGATGCTGATGATGCTGCTGCTGATGATGATGATGCTGCTGATGCTGCTGCTGATGACGAGGGGGATTTTGATGGTGGTGGTGGTGGTGGTGATGATGATGCTGTTGATGATGATAATGATGTTGATGATGCTGCTGCTGATGATGATGATGGTGGTGGTGGTGGTGATAGTGATTGTGATGGTGATGATGATGCTGCTGATGACGATGATTCTGATACTGATGCTGATGATGATGATGCTGATGATGCTGCTGCTGATGATGATGATGATGCTGGTGATGATGGTGATTGTGATGGTAATTCTGATGATGAGGATGACGATGCCGATGCTGATGATGACGATGATGATGCTGCTGCTGATGATGATGATTATTGTGATGATGCTGATGATGATGCTGCTGATGATGATCCTGCTGCTGCTGATGATGATGATGGTGGTGGTGGTGGTGATGATGTTAATTGTGATTGTGATTATGATTGTGATGGTGATTGTGCTGATGCTGCTGATGAGGATGATGGAGATGATGATGATGCTGATGATGATGACGATGACGATGACAATGACGATGATGCTGGCGATCATGATGCTGATGATGCAGATGATGCTGCTGCTGCTGCTGATGATGATGATGATGATGATGATGATGATGCTGATGCTGCTGCTGCTGATGATGAGGTTGATTACGATGATGGTGCTGGTGATGATGATGATGATGATGCTGCTGCTGCTGATGATGATGATGATGATGATGATGATGATGGTGGTGGTGGTGATGATGATGATGATGAATATGCTGCTGCTGATGATGATGCTGATGATGGTGATGGTGGTGATGGTGATAGTGATAGTGATGAAGCTGGGACTGATGCCTCGCCGGCCACCTTGGACGCTCGAACTCCGCGCCGCCCACCCACCGTCCAGGTGCACGGGATGGGGTAGGGGGAGGGGTAGACCGTTCCCGAATGGGACGAGGGGGTTTTGGAAGAGGAAACGCCCTAAACCACACGCCCTAAAGGGCTGGTGAGATTCCCCCAGCCGCTTTGGAAACTCTTCGGGAAACATTTGGGGGAGGACGAGGGGGGGGGATCAGGAGAGGGAGGAGGAGGACGAGGACGACCAGAAGGAGGAGGAGGAGGAGGAGGCGGATGAGTAGGAGGAGGAGGAAGAAGAGGAAGAGGAAGAGGAGGAGGGGGAGGGGGAGGGGGAGGAGGGAGGAGGAGGAGGAGGAGGTGGAGGAGGAGGAGGGCAGGAGGTGGAGGAGGTGGAGTGAGGAGGAGGAGGAGGAGGTGGAGGAGGCCTCTCGGGAGCCTCTTGGGGCATTCTTGGGGCCTTTGGGAATCTTCCTGGGAGCTTCCTGGGGGCCTCTTGGAGCCCTACGATCTTGGGGGCTTCCCTCTCTCTCCTTCCCCCCTCCTCTTGCTCCTCGCCTCCTCTCTCCTACTTGGGCCTCTTCGGGACCTTTGGGGCTTCTTCGGCGCCTCCCTGGCTGCTGTCTTAGGGCGTTCCTGACCAGTCTGACGCCGTCGGAAGCCGTCTTGGAGGCTTCTTTGAACCGATCTGGGGCCCTCTTGGGGCGCTTCAGGGCGTCTTGGAGGCCCTCTTGGGCTGTCTTGGGGCCCTCTTGGGGCCTTCTTGGGGGCCTCTTGGGCAGTCATGGGTTCGTCTTGGAGGCCTCTTGGGCGATCTTGAGGACCTCTTGGGCTGTCTTGGGCCGTTGGAAGGCCGAACAGAAACACATGCCAACACTTCTCAAACACCTAAGTAAGGGTAATCAATGATTTGGGCCTCTTCGGGCCTTCCTGAAGGACCTCCTGACGACCTCTGCAACCGTCTTGGAGGACTCTTGGGAGCCTCTCGGGCCGTCTTTGGCCATCTGGAGGCCGTCTTGCGCCGTCCAGGGAGCTTCTTGGGCCGTCTTGCGGGGGACCGACGATGGGTGGGGAGGGGGAAAAGGGGGGAGGAGTGGGGGCGGAGGAGAGGACGAGGAGGGGGAGGGGTGGGAGAGGATGACGAGGAGGAGAGGAGGGGAGGAGGAGGAGGAGGAGGAAGGAGGAGGAGGAGGAGGAGGGGAGGAGGAGGAGGAGGGAGGAGGAGGAGGAGGGGAAGGAGGAGGCGGAGGGAGGAGGAGGAGGAGAGGAGAGGGGATGAGGAGGAGAGGAGGAGGGAGGAGGAGGAGGGAGGAGGAGAGGAGGAGGAGGAGGAGGAGGAGGAGGAGGAGGAGTGGAGTGGGAGGAGGAGGAGGAGGAGGAGGAGCAAGGAGGAGGGGGAGGAGGTGGAGGAGGAGGAGGAGGAGGAGGGAGGAGGAGGAGGAGGAGGAGGAGGGGGAGGGGGGGGAGGAGGAGAGGATGGAGGAGGAGGAGGGAGGAGGAGGAGGAGGAGGCGGAGGAGGAGGAGGAGGAGGAGGAGGAGGAGAGGAGGAGGAGGAGGAGGAGGAGGAGGAGGAGGTGGAGAGGAGGAGGAGGAGGAGGAGGAGGAGGAGGAGGAGGAGGAGGAGGGGGAGGAGGAGGAGGAGGAGGAGGAGGAGGAGGTGGAGGAGGAGGAGGAGGATAGAGGTGGAGGAGGTGGTAGGAGGAGGAGGAGGAGGAGAGTGGAGGAGGAGTGAGGAGGAGGAGGTGGGGGGTGAGGAGGAGGAGGATGGAGGAGGTAAGGTGAGTAAGGTGGAGGAGGGATGAGGAGGAGGAGTGGAGGAGGTGGAGGAGGAGGAGGAGGAGGAGGAGGAGCGTGAGCGAGGGTGGAGGGCCGTCGTGGAGGCCCTCTTGGAGCCATCTGGCTCGGGACAGCCCTTTTGCCCGCCACCTCCTCCGAGCTGCGGTGGGCTTCGCGAGCGGCGGAGGCCCCCCGCGGGCGGCGAAGCTTTCTGCCGAGGGCCGCTCGCGGCCTGACGGGTTGGCGACGCCGTGCGCCCCTGTGGCAAGGCGGGCGAAAAAACTGGGTTTTCGTGGGTGAAGAAGTTGATCGTCGATCCCCCAGAAAATATCGGAACATATGGGTAGTGTGTGGGGTGGTTGGGGGGGAAGAGATATACATACACACGCACACACATATATATACACATATATTTATACATATATATATATACATATATGTGTGTATATATTCAGAACATATTGGGAAATAGGGGGAATCCTGTTATATTTGTGTGCATTTGTTTGTGTGCCCCAGGGCCCCTTCAAAGTTGAGTCTGTGAGCGGGAGCGTTGGGCCTGTGAGTGAAGAAGTTGGGCGACTCTGATCTTAGATCCCGCAGCGTGTCATGCACGGTTTGCTTGGGCGGAGCAGAGGGGCCCACGGCGAGCCACCTCCGTCACCTCCGTCCCCTGACGGTTGGTTGCGCCGTGCGCCCCTGGCGGCAAGTCAGGTGAAAAAAGCTGGTCTTTCACCACCCACCAAACCACCCCAACCCAATCCGAAGGCTCAAACTTACCCTCGATTTCCAGTGGGGTGTGGGGGGGTCGGGAAACATCGACAAACACATGTGGAACCCTTACCCCCCCCAACCCGAAATTCGGGTCTTCGGGCTGGGTTGGGGTGGTCTGGTAGGCAGTCAGTTCTGGGAGGGAGAGGTCGGAGGGCGCCAGCTCTGCACCCGCACCGAGCCTGGCCAGGCCGGTCCCGGGCCCAGGCGCGGTGTGCAGGCGTCCTCCCCATGGGGTGATCCTGGCCAGGATCGGTAGTGGTGTATAGTTGGTGCCTTCCCAAAAAGACAGTTGAGTTGGTGAACGGGGAAGTTGGGTTTGTGAGTGGAGAAGTTGGATGACTCAGATATTAGATTTCACAGCGTATAATGGAAGTTTTTTGGCGGATCAAAGACGCCCACGGCGAGGCACCTCCGTCCCATGCCTGTTGGAGCTGCCCGTGTCGCGACGTGTCGGGCGAACGTGCGGCCACGCTGGTGGACTGCACGCTACCCCTGCCGCTAGGGAAACCACCAGGGGAACACTTGGGATGTCGAGGCCTTCTCCAGGCTGCCTTGGGCATCGTTTGTGGTTTTTGGGCCTCCCTGCTTGGTGGCCCCCTGGGCCGGGTTTCTCTTGGGGCATCTTGGGGTCATCTTGGCGCGTCTTCCGTAGGACGCTCTTGGACCTTCTGCCGCCCTCGGAGGAGGCCGTCTTAGGGGCTCTCCGGGACGTCCCGAGGACTTCTTGGCGCCCTTCTGGATTGTCTTGGGGCTCTCTTGGGCCGTCTTGGGGCTCTCTGCGGCCCTCGTGGGGCCGTGGCAGGGTCTTCCTGGCGCCCCCTTGGGGCCTACTTGGGCCGACTCTTGGGGGCCTCCAGGGCCGTATCGGGCTGTCGGAGGCTCGACGAGGCGGGGACGCGAACATATTGTAAAGGCCTCCGGAAACGAGGGGCTCCGGATTCGGTGGTCTTCGCGGCTTTGTGGCCTCCTCCCCCTTCGATTCTTCCGGTCCTCTCTCTTCTCCTGAAGGGGGGGTGCCTGGAGCGGTCCGGGGGGGGGTCCGGGGAGGGTTCCGAGGGGAGGGTCATGGGGGCGGTAGCGGCTAGTCGGGTTGTCGGAGGCTCGATGAGGCGAGAACGCGAACATACAGTCGGGGCCCTGAAGAAGGAACCCTTTTCGTTGGGGAGGGGCTCCGTGTTCCTTGATTGTTTCGCAGCTTGCCTTAGGTTTTCCTTAGGTTTTCGATGGGAAATCGAACTTTAACTGATGGGAAAAAGGGGCCTCGTTCCTTATTTAGGGTTCCTTAGGTCAACGCCCCCACTGTATCCTAGTACGCCACTCGCCAATCCAGAACCGATGCCCAGGCGAGTTGGCCTTATCAGGGATGTGGAAGAGCATGCGGTGGAGTCAAGGGCTGGGGGAGCCGTCATGCCCCAACAGGGGGGAGAACGAGGAGAAGCCGGAGGACGGGGAGGGGGAGGGGGAGGAGGACGAGGAGGAGGAGGAGGAACATGTTGGATGATAGTGATGATGATGCTGCTGCTGATGACGATGATGATGTTGCTGATGATGATGCTGATGGTTGTGATGACGATGATGCTGATGCTGATGCTGCTGCTGCTGATGCTGCTGCTGATGATGATGCTGATGACGATGATGCTGCTGCTGGTGCTGCTGCTGAGGACGATACGATCATGCTGATGCCATTTTGGCTCAAGTGCGCCTGCCTTTGTTTGCTGTGAGCGAGAAAGACTACAGTGGGCAGCCGATGGCGCTCCTCATCGCCGCGGCCTCGCTGCTGGCACTCGCTCACGCTTCGGGCCCGCAAGCTTCCTGCGCTGTAGGACAGCAGTGCGCCGCGGGAGAGCAGGATGACACGGGCATGCTCCAGAAGAGTTCGCAGATGATGCAGGTGAATCGGCATGATCAAATGAGCGTGAGGACGACGCCCACGAACGACGCCGAGTGCCAGGCCGTGAAGGGCATCAACACGGGCCTGCCCATCGTCTACGACTCCAGCTGCCCCGGCCTGTGCTGCTTCGAGGACCAGCCGTGCAGGTACAACAACACGGGCTGCTACTCCGCAGCCTTGGCGCAGCAGAAGGTGAGGACGACGCCCACGAACGATGCCGAGTGCGAGGCCGTGCCGGGCACCAATACGGACGAGCCCATCGTGCACGACTCCAGCTGCCCCGGCCTGTGCTGCTTCGAGGACCAGCCGCGCAGGTACAACACCACGGGCTGCTACTCCGCAGCCTTTGCGCAGCAGAAGGTGAGGACGACGCCCACGAACGCGCCGAACGCCGAGTGCCAGGCAGTGAAGGGCATCAACACGGGCCTGCCCATCGTCTACGACTCCAGCTGCCCCGGCCTGTGCTGCTTCGAGGACCAGCCGTGCAGGTACAACAACACGGGTTGCTACTTCGCAGCCTTGGCGCAGCAGAAGGTGAGGACGACGCCCACGAACGATGCCGAGTGCAAGGCCGTGAAGGGCATCAACACGGGCCTGCCCATCGTCTACGACTCCAGCTGCCCTGGCCTGTGCTGCTTCGAGGACCAGCCGTGCAGGTACAACAACCACGGGCTGCTACTCAGGCAAGCCTTGGCGCAGCAGATCGGAAGTTGAGGACGATCGACCACGAAACGTCGGCCGAGTGCCAGGCCGGGAAGGGCAATCAACACGGGAGTGCGGCATCGTGCTTTAACGACTCCGCTCTTCACGCTGCGTCCTCCTGCTTCGAGGACCAGCCGTGCAGGTACAACAACACAGGCTGCTACTCCGCAGCTTTGGCGCAGCAGAGGGTGAGGAAGACGCCCACGAACGACGCCGAGTGCAAGGCCGTGAAGGGCATCAACACGGGCCTGCCCATCGTCTACGACTCCAGCTGCCCAGGCCTGTGCTGCTTCGAGGACCAGCCGTGCAGGTACAACAACACGGGCTGCTACTCCGCAGCCCTGGCGCAGCAGAAGGTGAGGACGACGCCCACGAACGACGCCGAGTGCCAGGCCGTGAAGGGCATCAACACGGGCCTGCCCATCGTCTACGACTCCAGCTGTCCCGGCCTGTGCTGCTTCGAGGACCAGCCGTGCAGGTACAACAACACGGGCTGCTACTCCGCAGCCCTGGCGCAGCAGAAGGTGAGGACGACGCCCACGAACGACGCCGAGTGCAAGGCCGTGAAGGGCATCAACACGGGTCTGCCCATCGTCTACGACTCCAGCTGCCCCGGCCTGTGCTGCTTCGAGGACCAGCCGTGCAGGTACAACAACACGGGCTGCTACTCCGCAGCCCTGGCGCAGCAGAAGGTGAGGACGACGCCCACGAACGACGCCGAGTGCCAGGCCGTGAAGGGCATCAACACGGGCATGCCCA